GGTGAGCCTGCCTTGCTTGGGCGGTGCGTGGACTTGAGCAAAGCCTACCGTCAGGTAGCAATTGCAGAAGAGTCACTTCGCCATGGAGTTTTGGGTTACCAAACAAGCCAACATGGATGGCGATACTACACGACTCGATCACTTCCCTTTGGTGCCAGCGCTTCTGTATTTGCTTTCAACAAAATTTCCAGGGCCATTTGGCACCTCTTGGTACACGGCATGCATATACTGACAAGTGTTTTCTATGACGATTTTCCTTGTTTTGAGATACAACCCCTGACGCAACTCACTGCCAAAGCGCTTGATCAATTTTTCAACACTCTTGGTTGGAGACATGCGGTAACTGGAAAGAAGGCTACAGAGTTTGGACCACAGATGCAGGCGTTGGGGGTGCAATATGACTTGGAAGGTGTGTGGAAAGGCCGCCTGGTTGTGCAGAACAAACCGGGGCGCAAAGAACGCATCCTGCAGCTTGTGAAGGAGCTGCGAGATTCAACCAAGTTGCAACGAGCTGCATCAGCTTCCTTGGCTGGCCTTTTGAATTTTTGTGGAGGTTTTGTTTTGGGACACTCTTTGAAGCCGGCGACCCACGCTTTGACCAAATGGATGTATGGTGAGAACCCCACTTCCGGCGCAACAGCTGAGCTTTGTGACTTGATCTGTTTTCTCATAGAAGCTGCCAAGCCCCGGGTTGTAACTGTGGATCAGGATGTTAAGCCGGTGATAGTCTACACCGACGGAGCCTTTGAAGATCGAGTGGGGTCATGGGGAGCATTAGTCATTGACAATCTGACTGGACAACGACATGTCTACCATGGAACTGTGCCGGACCGACTCCTTGAATACTGGTTGCAGCATGTAGGCGAACAAGTGATTTGTGAAGTTGAGATGTACGCGTACATGTGTGTGCGCTGGGCATGCCGCAAGCAGTGGGCCGCAAGATGTGGCTTGTGCTTCATTGACAACGAAGCATGTAGAATGAGCCTGATCAAAAGAAGCAGCCCTTCGACTGCTATGTTCCTACTGGTTTGCTTGATTTCAATCATTGACACTCAGACCCCCTTTTCAGCTTGGATGGAGAGGGTCCCATCTCCAGCCAATCCGGCTGACTTGCCTTCTCGTCACAAAGCGGACGAGCTTTGCAGAATGCTTGATGCGGTCGATCTTGGTGACATCCAACTTCCAGCTTCTTTGCTCAGTTTTCTCATGAGCAACAGATTTGATCCTAAACTTGCCGAAGTGATACGGTTTGAAGCAGAGGACTAATTCTTGGTTGGCTGAGATGAGCGTGGGGAGAAAACGAGCCAACGTGATTTGTGTTGGTTCAAAATTGAAAGAACTCCGATTGACTTTGGATGGAGCTGTGAATTTGAGCTCACTGGATTTCTCCCCCGACCAATCAAGCCAAGGACGAAAAAGAGAACCGTTGATTTTGGCAGCCACCTGTGATTTTCAGTTTCATGCTGTGATGTGTCTGATTTTTCATGCTGTGATGTTTTTGATTTTTCTCGTCTGAATTTCAACTGACGTTTTCCGCGGCGCTTCACGACGTTTGGGTGTTGATGGTTGCACGAGTCAACCTTCCTTTTACGCTCTCTTTTATGTTTGGGGTCGGCGGTTGGTTTGGCGACCTTTCGTTTAGTTCTGTAGGTTTGCACTACTGTGCACTCCTCTGTAACTAGACGCGCAGGGTTGTGAAACGTAAGGGTTCTGCTTGCAGATCCCGCTGTTTCTTTAACCCTGGTGAAGCCTGCGCGACGTACGCGTGTAGTTAGCTACTACATGCACGTTCACCAACCGTTGTTTCTCCTGTGTGCGATGCATGTCTTACACCTGCGTTTGCCACATCCTCACCTCCACTTGAGCGTGCCCCATTTTGAAACCAAGCGCAAATCGTGCGACGCGTCTTCCTCCTCTGTTCCTCTTGCGGTCTGCTTTGCGCTCTCCTGGACTTAATTCTTTCCTTTGATTTGAGCGTACACCACCGTTATTGGGAACCAGAGTTTTTTTTTTTTAAACAACTTGTTTACTGAACATTCCAAAACAAACACTTCTCACGCGATGGTTGAGTTTCATGTCGTGATTTCTGATGGCATGTTCTTTTAAGAGAAGTCAACGTGATCGTTTGTTGTTTTGCGATGTTCAGTTTCATTTTCTTTTTGGGCATACTTGATTGTCAATTTTTACGTGAATCATTTTTGACTCAAGATGCCCTTTTTTGACTCATTTGACCTGCGGTGATTTGTTCACCCACCCTAGTAACCCTCCCAATCTGGGGGGAGAAAACGAGCCAACGTGATTTGTGTTGGTTCAAAATTGAAAGAACTCCGATTGACTTTGGATGGAGCTGTGAATTTGAGCTCACTGGATTTCTCCCCCGACCAATCAAGCCAAGGACGAAAAAGAGAACCGTTGATTTTGGCAGCCACCTGTGATTTTCAGTTTCATGCTGTGATGTGTCTGATTTTTCATGCTGTGATGTTTTTGATTTTTCTCGTCTGAATTTCAACTGACGTTTTCCGCGGCGCTTCACGACGTTTGGGTGTTGATGGTTGCACGAGTCAACCTTCCTTTTACGCTCTCTTTTATGTTTGGGGTCGGCGGTTGGTTTGGCGACCTTTCGTTTAGTTCTGTAGGTTTGCACTACTGTGCACTCCTCTGTAACTAGACGCGCAGGGTTGTGAAACTGCAGTGTTTTCTCGGCTAGGGACACGTGAAGGAATTAAACCTTTCTCTTTCACTCTTCGCTGCATCCACAAAACACGAACACTGATATGACGAATACGTCCCACTCCAGAACGTAACAAGAAGGATATAGTCATTTTTTTTCCTCGAGTCTGGCCGATGCAGCTCGGAGGTTTTTTTTTCCCGAGTGTGGCCGATGATGCTCTGAGGCTCGGAGGCCGATTCAGCTCGGAGGCTCGGTCCTTAATACTGAACATAAAAATAAATTGGGAAACAAGAAGGATGTAGCCAGGCTCTACTGTACCTCCATTGCCCGGTGCATTTTCAGTAGCACCCCTGTCTAGCAAAATGACTTAGTACTAAAGCTGTCATGCAAATAGAGCGTTTGAATCATTTAGCTAATAAACATGGCAGGTGCGTCTTGTCTGAGTACCTCAGGCAGAGACCAGGGCAACTTGAAGGCCAGTATTCGACTTCTAAAAGAACGAGGATATAGCGCCCCAAAACAACTTCTCAGAATCCTTCTTCTCGCCTTGAGTCCTTCAGAGATGGCTATGGCAGTTTCTATGGATGGAGTCACAACTGATGCAGCTACTTTGGTTGCTACAGCCACCTCAACCAGCCCTGTGTCCAACATCGAGAGCTACAAGACCATGATCATCGCAATTTTGCTGACGCTGCTTTGTGGAGCGATTGGGATTTGCTTCTACCTTCGCTTCGCACTTGGAGTTGCAAGAGGCGAGAGTTTTGCTCAAAACATGAACAAAACGTTTCACCAAGTTCTTGATGAGTTGGAATATAGGATGGGTTGGGGAATATATGAAACTAAAGAAGAGACCCTGCAAGAGAAACGCCGTCGATACCTTGACAGCGAGATGTGCGAAGTTTCTGATGATGAATATTGGAGACACATCCACTATGGGCCGCTTGGACTGACCAACATGACGATGGCGAAGAAACAGAGTCTTCCCTGTCCAATGACACGATGTTGCGCTGCTCCAATCTATCACCTGAGCTGAGGCAGACGATGCTCGAAACCAATGCCCTGCTGCGAGCCAGAGTGGGGCGATTGGAATGTGAGTGGGATGAAGCTCAGCTGCGCAATGATGCCATTTTGATGGTGCAGAGCGAAGGTCAGATCCGAGAAGTTCATGGGATGATCTGCACCGGTTTGGACGAGACTTGAAAAGTCTTTGAAGGATGTATAGAGATTTTTGAAAAGTGAAATGGACAGAAAATCCAATGCCTATTTGCCGTGCAGGCTTTGCTGATAGCCTGATTGGATTTTTATTGAAAATTCAGTCTGAGTCTGAGTCGTTAGGAACTAGACTGAGGCGGGGTGAACAACATTTCACTCCTTTGTTTACATGCTTGGTATGCAGTACAAATGCATGTCCAATTGCATACAAACACATGGCATGGAAAGACTTCACGTCATCGGAGTTCAACCACATGTCCAGATCATGCGGAATCTATGGATGTTACCGTAGGCGTTTTTATGCGAAGATCAAAAGGGCGCTGCCAATCAAAAACAAAAACAAAAACGAAATGGTCAATTTTGAAGGTCACTTAGATGCACTTAGGCCACTTAGCTAAGTGCACTTAGATGCACTTAGCTAAGTGCATTTTAGCCACTTAGCTAAGCACTTAGCTAAGTGTTCAGACATGCCTGAGCTAAGTGCCCTATAACGTCACTTAACCACTTAGGCATTTTAAAATTATGAACACCTATTCGTCATAGCTAAGTGCTTTATTTTTTTGGAAGCGCTTTTGAAATTTATAAGTGATGTTCCGCACTTAGTAAGTGCATAGCGGTGCTTAGGCATGATAGATGAATATACATCATGGCTTAGAGGCCTTATCAAGCTACCATAGGTGCGCGTAGATCATTGTTTAAACCTTAGTAAGCGACCTGATCATCCAAGTAAGAACCCCTTAGTGAGGACACATTGTTTGAGGAAAAAATGGTTCAACTCATTGAAACAAAACAAATAACTAAACAACCGTTCACGTTTGTAAAACAAATCCGGATCGTGCTGTTATTTGCCAGTGGTGTCGTTGTTGTATATGATGTTGCTCAAAGGACAAACTTAGCAAATTGAATATATAATGACATTTCATGCAATCCCAAAAATCAACATGTTAGGGTTGAATTTACATGTGCATCATTTGACAACCTGCATTTGTGTTTTGCACATCGCGGCAGACCGTATTCCGCCCTTGTCATACATTTGATTGGCAGTGTTCTGTTTTTTCAATGCATTTCGGACACTAAATGTAGAAACACATGTGACATTGTGTTTGTACCAAATCGAATGGCGTTATCATGCCGGCTGCGCCGGTTTCTCCTGCCATGGTTTGTGATTTTCATGTTTTTTGATTTGGAGTGTTTCGTGTGCCTTGGTGTGAACATGGCGCAAATGTGTCCACATGAAATTGGACACAAAATTGCTAAACGAAGACATCAACGACCAATGCAGCGGGTATTGTTGGAAGGGGTTGTATGTTTGCTGTCGAAGTCACATTTAAACCTTTCATGTCCAGTGAAGTCGTCCATGAATGTTGATTTGTTTGATCAATTTGAATTTTGATGTGGCATCTCAGACATTGTTGCAGTTTGCCTTGTTTGCTTTTCTTAGGCAGGGTTTCCCTTCGTTTCTTCGATCAACGCGTGGGTCATTTTTGCGCGGTTCCACGACGCTGGCAGCGAAATTTGAGAAAACAACATGCGACGACCTGGTTTCATGGTCGGTGGAACTACTGTCCAAAGTGCAGGTCGTGGTGTTGGCTTTGATGGTGGGTCACTTGGGATACATTTTGGATGCGTATCAACAAATGTGCAACTAATATTGATTGCCAATTCAACAGTTTTGTCACGTCGAACCTTTGAAAACAATGGTAATTGTTTTGTGTTTTATGTTTTTTTGCAAGCAATCGTACCACCGTCAAGAGTGGCTGTGATGGATCGATTTATTGTGATACAATAATTTCAGTTGAAACCCTAACCAGTTTTGCAAGTAAAACCTTATCATTGGATGTGTTTGTTGTAATGTGGTCATGCAACGATCGTGTTTTTTGTTTTTATTGAACGTTTCGATGCATATGTGAATTTGGAAGGATGAAATGTGATTTTTTTTTGTGATGTCGCAAGCAGTCTTTATGTTATTTTTGGCAGGTGGTATGTGCAAAACTATGCAAATATGCAATAAATTTTGTACTTGCTTTTTGGGCATTGCGCCATCCAACAGTAAGGCATGTCCCTTTTTGTGCCTGCAGTGCCCGCTGCGCCTGCTGCGCCTGCAAGTCAAGAGGAAAATCGACAAACCGTAGAAGCTGCTTGGGGTTTTGTAAGACGATGCTTGGATGTCAAGAAAAGTCAATCGACGTCAAAACATTGGGTTTCAGTCGGTGTGAAATTTGAAGATTGGAACCAATCTTACAGCAGATCGTGCTGAGCCACATCCTTCGAGTTTTTGATGAAAAATTTCTTGTGGTAGGGACCAGATGAGTTTCAGGAAATTTTTATGACCAGAGCTTCAATCATCAAGATTGGTCCGCGCTTCATCAAACTTATCTGCAACGTGTGGACAGTGGCGAGCGTACCTTGGCATGCGATCGCCCAGATCTGGTACGATAGGACACGTGAGCACTGAAAATACTGGTTGCATTGAATCCAACATATCAAGCGACCATTCAAAAACACTTTATCTTCTAATTTGCAGTAAATCTTACAATCTCCACTGAGACTACAGCTGCATCAGTTTAGAAGGCTGTCCAGGCTGGTTGTGAACTTTGTCTGAATTCTCCCCGTACCTAACTTGCTGGGTAGTGCTTGCTAAGCCGAGTCCAATAGACAAAAAACCTTACAAAGGCATCGGCTAACCATACCCATCCCTTTATTGAAAATAATTGAACATGTCTAACATGTCTTACAAAGTGAAGACTTGGATGATCTTTGTTCAAGATTCGGATGAAACGTTCGTAATCAATCCACAAACCTTTGAGAGAAGGTCTGTTTGAAGGTGCTACAGGAGCGGATCACATGTCACAGTTTCGGTGAGTCTCTTGAGGTGCAGAGAACATCGTCCGTGACATGGTGACCTCTTTGGGTGATCGCTATAGAGTCTTGGCCATGAGCATGGGGCAAGGGTCGATTGGCATGGTTCGGTCCTGCAGCGGAACATATTTGTGTCTATTTGTGAAGAACTGAACATCTCAGTTGCTGTTCATTTGATGCGAATCACAGTTTGAAGTCTTACTGGTCCGTTTTATTGTGATTTTCAGTTTTGCATTGTTTAAGGTCCCCAGCTTTGAATGAAGAAACGTCATGAGTTGCTGACAAGATTCTTAACGTGAATCAGTTCATTGATCAAATTCACAATGTCATGATATGCGCAAGAGGTCTTCAAGGCAACAACTTTCTAGCTATTGAAGGCAACAACTTACTCATTTGATCTTATTTGTACGTGAATGATCGAGCTCATTGGGTGCCGTGCAGCCGAGTTTGTGACTTTGCAGGAATGGGGCTTTCATGAGCCTCAAAACATTAAAGACAAATCCGAAAGTCATGAAATATCACCCCAAAAAAACACAGGAGCCGAAATACCTGCAAAGCCTGGACCTCTTACAACCCTCCCCAGGTTCACTCAGTTCCACCAGTTCCATCAGTTCACTCCGTAACCAGGCCGGGTCATCGATGCTCAAACCTTCGAGCAGTTGATGGCCTTCGATCCACTGGGTGTTGGCTTGGTATTGGCTCGCAACGATCAGAAGGAGGTGCGGCAGCGCTCCGAGTGTTTTTTTAGAGGGTCAAGATTTTATTTGACGTCGTTAAGATATGTTAACATGATACTCAGGTCATCTTCGGTCGCCAATTTTCACAAGCCCTGCCGCATTCGCATCGGAGCCTCTGAGGTCATCATCAGCTCCCCTCCTTTTGCAGGTTCGTCTGCTGCCAAGGCGAGCTTTTCGTGTCTCACATCCTGCAGTTGAACACTAACCTGGCCAGGCAGGGCTGCAACAGGGTGACCTTGTGGATGCGGTCGATGACATGAACTTCAACCAGTCGCCAGGATGCGATTGGCAGAGTGCAGCTTTGGGCGTTTGGAGATGTCTGGAGCTGTGAAAGACGGGAACATGTGGACAGATTCGATGGGAATCAGGTGTCCGTCAAAGTATGTCTGTAGGCTGACAAGTAGTCTTGCTAGGAAGAAAGTGGCAGAGGACCTTTTGTCAAATCCACCATGCGTGGAATAATACATGCCCCTGTATTTGAGATGCCCAAATCCTGTAGTAGCCATTCCTGGACGTTGAAGAGAAAACTGCAGATGAGTTGTTGAAAGGGTCAGAGACGTGTGGGAGCTGGCAATCATCATTCAACACAATTCACTTCGAGGTCCATTCAGGAAGCCACTTTTGAGGATTTTGCATTTATGAGTTCCAGCCCCTCTTGTCAAGCGCGTCACATTTCAAGCTAGCCACCAGACGGTCACCAGACGGTCACCAGAGGGTCGCAAGGCTTTCTCTGCTTGCGGTCGCAGATCGAGTGGCCCAGCGTGACCCTGCCAGTGTTGTGCTGACGCTGCGCAGTGGAGCGGAGCGAGTCCGCCAGGCATCGCTGGATTCATTGGATCCATTAGGATGATTTACCCTCTGGTAAACGTTTACATAACTATGGAAAATCACCATTTTTAATGGGAAAACTCACTATAAATAGCCATTTTCAATAGCTATGTTAAATTACCAGAGGGTAAGATCCAAATATCCAGATCGTGACAATCATTTGGCTATGGATGTTGCAACTTGGACGATTTGGTGAAGTTGGACAAAGAACAACAGATAGATTGAGGGAGCAGCTGCAGAATGCCAGTGTATGCTGATACGCATTCATTTTCTGACATGGCCATCAAAGCAGCAAGATTTGGGAGCCGAAATTGTATTTATTTAACTTATTTGCCCGGCACCAGGTAACTCTTGAGCGGCTACGACAAGCAAAACCACAGAACCAGGTGGCTCCAATGTAACCTGAGCGTTGGGGGCTGGTTCGAGCTCATGTTGGCCGTGCCACACACAGAATTTTGGGAGCTCGGGGTCAATCCCAAGCCCGACCCATGCGTTTCAGCTGAGGTGGATTCGGGTGTTGTCACCAACTCTTTGGGCCACAAAGTTGGGCCTCTCAGCTGAATTGGTTCCAACCAGAGAGGTTCTGGATTGCGACAAACTGACCCCAACAAGCCATTCAAGGCGGAGTTTTTTTGGAGGTTTGGGGGTCCAGGGGCTTGATATGGCTTGATGTTTCTTGTTTCCAAAGAGCATCAGCTCACTCTCACTCTGTTTCAACTTTGTTTGACATTTTTTTCCAAATTGAGCCTTTCAGTCTCGCAAAGAACCTGCCAAGGTGCTTTTGTTATTTTTGTTGCTAGGTATCTTACCTGAGCTCGTTTAATGGTGTAAAATGATTCTGAAAGGTACAAGTGGGTCGGTAGGGTGGTAGCTGGAGAAATGTGGTGTTGACATATGTTGACATTCATCGGTATTTTTTCTATTTTGTTGGGTGGGACCATGGCGGGAGGGATAAATTGGGGCCTGGAACTGACTGCGCCTGACACTGCGGCACCGCTGAGCTTCATGCGTTTGCGAAGCTTTGGCGCCCGCAGCGCCCTGGAGATATCAGATGCTCTGCCCAAGTTGCGGAAGGAGGGGGCAGAAGAATTTGTGATAGACCTGCGGGGGAACGGAGGCACGGCCCGCCTTTACGAGATCACGTTGGATCACGTTGGATCACGTTGGATCACATTGGTTGGAGTGTGAAAGGCCGCTATTGGTTGATTTGGGGTCCCTTGTGGCCATATTTTATCATTTGTTCTCATCGTTGAGGCAGGTTGGCATGGATCCAGAGGGGCTCAGAAGCCTCGCTTTCCAGGTGGCTCCTTCCCAGCTGCTTTGGAGGCGGCAGAGTTGTTCCTGCCCAAAGGTACCGTCGCTGCACAGGTGCGGAGGACTTGGCCTGCCAATGTCCTGCTGGTGAGCACATGTCCGGAGTGCAGCCAGAATATAGCCACTGCATTTTCGTGTGCAACGTTTTTGATTGATTACAGCAGGTGAACCAAAACCATGATCTGTTTCTGGAAATTGGAGCAGTCTGTTCTGTGTCTGTGAGGGACAGATGTTTGGTGTCCAATCCTTCAGATTCCGTCGCAAGTTACTAGCCGTTACTAGCCTCCACACACGGGAGGTGAAGCTTCCATCCGTGGAGAATGAGAAGCCAATCCGTGTCGGTGAAGGCGGCTCTTTGAGCAGAACAGATCCATGTGAGATGCAGTTTTTTGCAACGGAAGGCTTTTCGCGAAGCAGCGGTCTTGATAGTCCTACTGTGTCCTACTCATACAGTCAACAGGTCCTACCCGGAACAGAATGAAAGGTGATTCAGGTACAACTACATCTATTGTAAATCACGAAAGGTAGCGTCAGCTACCTGAGTTCTCGGTGCTTCAGCACAAGCTTAGGGGGTATTGGGGGGCCAGCCCACGGAATTCATGGAATTCTCGCCGTTATGTATTGGATATCAATTATAAGGGGGGGGGGCCCCGTGCCATTGACGGTTGGCGTCGATTTTGCGGCACCACTTCTTGTGCATGTAGGTAGGCAGGGTGAAATGGGTTAAGGTGTCTCGATACATGTAGCTGTAACCTGCAACTCTCTTTATACTGGCAATACTGCGTAGGATTTATCTGCGGCGCCAAGCGCCACTTTCAGAGCATGGGTGCTTTGCATTGTGGCGCGCCTGGTCCATCGGCCTGACCATCGGCCTGTCCATCGGCCTCATCGGATCCATCGGCTCCATCGGCTTCAACGGCTCCAGTTGGCCTCATCGGCTCCATCGGCCTCATCGGCCTCATCGGCCTCAGCGGCTCCATCGGCCTCATCGGCCTCATCGGCCTCAGCGGCCTCATCGGCCTCATCGGCCTCATCGGCCTCAGCGGCCTCAGCGGCTCCATCGGCCTCATCGGCTCCATCGGCCTCATCGGCTCCATCCATCGGCTCGAGCGGCCTCATCGGCCTCATCGGCCTCATCGGCCTCAGCGGCCTCATCGGCCTCAGCGGCCTCATCGGCCTCATCGGCCTCAGCGGCTCCATCGGCCTCAGCGGCCTCATCGGCCTCATCGGCCTCAGCGGCTCCATCGGCCTCATCGGCCTCATCGGCCTCAGCGGCTCCATCGGCCTCATCGGCCTCATCGGCCTCAGCGGCCTCATCGGCCTCATCGGCCTCATCGGCCTCATCGGCCTCAGCGGCTCCATCGGCCTCATCGGCTCCATCGGCCTCATCGGCTCCATCCATCGGCTCGAGCGGCCTCATCGGCCTCATCGGCCTCATCGGCCTCAGCGGCCTCATCGGCCTCAGCGGCCTCATCGGCCTCATCGGCCTCAGCGGCTCCATCGGCCTCAGCGGCCTCATCGGCCTCAGCGGCTCCATCGGCCTCATCGGCCTCATCGGCCTCATCGGCTCCATCCATCGGCTCGAGCGGCCTCATCGGCCTCATCGGCCTCATCGGCCCCACGGGTGACGCGGTCACGGGCCCCCACATTAGAGGCACACTTTCCATGAGGGAGATGTCCCTGTAGTCCAGCATAATTGGTATGCTTCAGCCTCAATAACAGTTGCTGCAAGGGGTCTTAAAAAGGGGGTTTAAATAAACCCCTTTTCGTGCATCATTTCACGCTGCACAAGACACCGTATCATGCAGTCATGCTCTGGATAAAATCATCTTAGACTGCGCAAAAACGTTTTTGGTGTATCATCTTAGGGGCGCAACATTTTGACACCACTCCTCTCCCACTACACTACCTTTCGTCCGCCTCCGCCTGCTCTCAAGTTCCACAGTTGGTTTCAATTCCCCCTGGCCAGATTCTGGATCCAGGTGACAGTGTTGCAACCACTGCCACAGAGCCCCTAGCTGTGCTTGTGGATGCGGGCAGCGCCAGTGCCAGTGAGGCTGGCCGTTGAGGGCTCATCTCTGGATGCTGCGCAGTAGTTGGACCCAATTGCAATCCAAAAATGGTCAGATTTTGACACTATTTCTATCTACTTTTTGTGATTTGGATACACAAATTGTTGAAATTTTCTTAAATCACAATTCTGCATTATTTCAGTAGAGGCCGAGCACCAACCCTCCTGGTTCTGCAGGTTCTCGCCGTGGCATTGCGGGGCAACTGCCGAGCACCATTGATTGGCACCCGAACATATGGAAAAGCTGCTGTGCAAGGCGTCTTTGGGCTGCCCAACAAGGCCATTTGGTGGGACTTACAGCGACTTAGAGTAAGTACAACTGCCAGCTGCGGCTTCTCAGAGAACTTCACCGGAAAGACACTGCGGAATCAAGAAGGGTTTTGGAAAATGGCAGACACGAGTATGGACTTCGGATTCTCACAATGTACTGGTATTTTGGCAGACCGTTAGTTATGCACGGTCTTATCCTGGCGATGATCCAACCACATGTTCACCTCTTTGAGATAACTTTGACAGGCGCTTGGCTCAGAACAACTATTGAAGCGAATCATTCTTCCGTTTGCCTTTTAAGCCTCCAGTATAATTATCAAAGGAAGTTGGGAAGCAATACTTCCGAGTTACGAATGACTTTTACTTGGTGCAATTGACTATGATGAAGGGTGGTAGATCATGTAACAATACATAATGTACCAATACATCACAAAAGAATAAGAAGCAATGAAATTGACCTTGAGGAAGGGTGGTAGATCATATAACAATACATAATATAACAATACATAATGTACCAATACATCACAAAAGAATAAGAAGCTATGAAATTGACCTTGAGGAAGGGTGGTAGATCATATAACAATACATAATATAACAATACATAATGTACGAATACATAACAAAAGAATAAGAAGCTATGAATTTGACCTTGAGGAAGGGTGGTAGATCATATAACAATGCATAATATAACAATACATAATCTAATCAAAGGAAGTTGGGAAGCAATACTTCCGAGTTACGGAAGTGGCGACGAAGGGAAGTGGTGATGAAGGGGAGTGGTGAGGAAGGGAAGTGGTGATGGCGGGAAGTGGCGACGACGGGAAGTGGTGAGGAAGGGAAGTGGTGAGGAAGGGAAGTGGTGACGAAGGGAAGTGGTGATGAAGGGGAGTGGTGAGGAAGGGAAGTGGTGACGATGGGAAGTGGTGAGGAAGGGAAGTGGTGGCGATGGGAAGTGATGAGGAAGGGAAGTGAGAAGCGATGGAATTGCTGACGATGGGAAGTGGTGACGAAGGGAAGTGGTGAAGAAGGGAAGTGGTGAAGAAGGGAAGTGGTGACGAAGGGAAGTGGTGCAGAAGGGAAGTGTGCTTGCAGATCGCATTGGAATGGCTGCATGAATGTTGCATGGGCTATGTTGTGGGGAGGAAGCCGGAGCACGAAACCTTGCGTTTTTCCGTGTAAAGTGGCTGCAGGCGACGATGAAAGGTACCTCGTCTGTGCGGCGGGTGCGGCTGGGGTCGTTTTGTGCGCGAATTGTTCCTCCTATGTGTTTTGCAACGAGTGGTTGTGTCTGTGTGCGTAGTTCTATGCGGTTCTTGAATCTCTGGTTGCAAATTGCATTGGAATGGCTGCATGAATGTTGCATGGGCTATGTTTTGGGGAGGAAGCCGGAGCACGAAACCTTGCGTTTTTCCGTGTAAAGTGGCTGCAGCCGGCGATGAAAGCTACCTCGTCTGTGCGGCGGTTGCGGCTGGGGTCGTTTGGTTCCTTCTATGTGTTTTGCAACAATGCTTGTTCCTGTGTGCGTAGGTCTATGCGTTTCTTGATGCTGTGGTGCCAAATCGCATTGGAATGGCTGCATGCTGTTGCATGGGCTTTGTATTGGGGAGGAAGCCGGAGCACGAAACCGTGCGTTTTTCCGTGTAAAGTGGCTGCAGCCGGCGATGAAAGCTACCTCGTTTGTGCGGCGGTTGCGGCTGGGGTCGTTTGAGTCCTTCGTTTTGCAACAATGCTTGTGCTTGTGTGCGTAGTTCTATACGTTTCTTGATTTTGTGGTGCCAGATCGCATTGGAATGGCTGCATGATGTTGCATGCCGTGGGTTGTGGGAAGGAAGCCGGAGCACGAAACCGCGTGTTTTTCCGTGTAAAGTGGCTGTAGCCGGCGATGAAAGCTACCTCGTCTGTGCGGCGGTTGCGGCTGGGGTCGTTTGGTTCCTTCTATGTGTTTTGTAACAATGCTTGTTCCTGTCTATGTATTTCTATGCGTTTCTTGACTTTGTGGTGCCAGATCGCATTGGAATGGCTGCATGATGTTGCATGCCGTGTGTTATGGGAAGGAAG